AAGACCTGTTGGAAGAGTTTACCCTCGTTTCGTGTGGTGGGCGATGTACTAATGAAGAAATACAATAAAGCCAAAATTGTTCAAGCCGCCAAAGGCAAAAATGGACTGAAACTAGTTTTAAGCAAGTGAGTTGCTCACATTCGTAGTTCATTTTTTTTAATAATTTGTGGTAACTAATTTAAAACTTAAAATTTTGTTTTTTTCTTTCTTTAGAAAAAATCGTGCCGGCAAGGTGATGAACTATCCCAAACGCATGGATTTGGTCTATCTGCAAACATCGCCCAATTACTGTGAACGCAATGTGCAGGAGGGCGTTTTGGGCACTCAGGGCCGTGTCTGCAATCGCACCTTGCATGGTTTCCAAAGCTGTGATCTGCTCTGCTGTGAGCGTGGCTATAATACCCAACAAATACGACGCACCACCCAGTGTCGCTGTCAGTTTAAATGGTGCTGTCAGGTGCAATGTGATGTCTGTGAGGAGAACTATGAAGAGTTTACTTGTAAATAATATTTAACTAAGAAAAAACGAAAAACAAAAACAAAAAATGTGAAAAAGGAAGTCGAGGAGGATGAGAAGAAAACTTAAATCTCATTAAGATTGCTTGAGGTTAATTGCTGGGCTGCAACAATTTGATACACGCAAAGAGGAGGAATGTGTAAATGACACTATGCAACAGAAAATTTATATGTTTGATGATTCAGAAATTCGATGTAAATGATAAAAAAGTGAAAAAGCGTTAAGTTCGGCCGGGCCGATCTTTGGATACCCTCCACCATAGATATATTGACAGCTACTAGAAATGAAAATATAGGGAACATACCAAAAAGTGGACCTATACCGACATGTCTAAAAATGGATTATGTAAACCATAATGTAAACCCTAATACAAATTTCAAAAATTTGTAATTGATAATTCAAATTCGAAGATGGGGAATATTGGTCCACTCTTCTGGAACCTCCAATCAGGGGCTAGGTCTAAATGCGGCTATAGTTCATTATCGAACCTTACGTAAATTTTTGGTAGGGAGATTTGTTACCATATACGACTACAAAATACCAAATTGCAGCAAATTCGGTTAAAAACGCGCTCAAGAACCCCAAAATACCGAAAATTGGGGGTACCCTTATATGGGGGATATCCGAAAAAATTAACCTATATTTATAATTTTTTGTGGAGAGATTTGGTACCTATTAAGAACCCAAGGCATTAAATTTCAGCGTATTCGGTTGAAAAACGCGCTCAAGAACCCCAATTGGCCTATATTTATAATTTGAAATACAAAATTACTGCAAATTCGGTGGAAAAATTCGATCAAAACCCCCAAAATACTGAAAATTTGGAGGTACCGTTATATGGGGTCTACCAGAAAAAAGTGGACAAATATAGGTGGATACATTTAGTACTCAATAAGAACCCAATGTACCAAATTTCAGCGTATTGGGGGGTACTGTTATATGGGATCTATGCCTAAACGTGGACCGATATATCCCATCTTCGAAATTGACCTGCCTGCAGACAAAAGACAACCCTATGCAAAATTTCAGCACTCTATCTCAATTCCTTCAGAAGATAGCGTGATTATAACAGACGGACGGACATGGCTATATCGTCTTAGAATTTTACGCTGATCAAGAATATATATACTTTATAGGGTCGGAAATGATTATTTCGATAAGTTACAAGCGGAAAAACAAAATTAATATAACCGCCATACTATGGTGGAGGGTATAAAAAGGAAGAAATGTATTTGCAATACGCTTCATCCTGAAATACCAAAAAAACGATATCGATCTTACATGGGCCCACATTGAATATTTCTCGCTAATAAATATTTCACCCTCTGCGAAAACGAATATCAAATTATAGGCGCTAAAATGAGAACAAGAATAGGACTGCGCTTCTTCAAAACACAAAAAAATCTTCTGTTATCTATGTCGAAATATTGGCTTCTATTTTAAATTTTCTTCAAATATGTTATTCACATGAATTCGGAATGAGTTTGTTGAATAGTTTGTTGGTAGGAAATTTCAACCATCAACATTCGGAGCTTTTTGTTATATGAGGGCTACACCAATTTTTGGACCAATATATGGTATATGTTTTATCAAAAAGTTGGCCATTTTTGGCGAGGTACCGAAAGAGGCTGCTCTATAGACCCCATCTTAGGATTTAAAGTAGGTTTGGAAAAATGTCACGATTAGCAAATTTTAGATCAAATCAGACATTCCATTAAGAGATGTTCCATAATGTAGACACTTGGTGGGGAAGGTATCAGATGGAGTGAAGCAACGGGCCCCATTTTTAAGTTTCATCTATGAAAGGTAACTATATTATCATGTACAAAGTTTGGATGAAATTGGTTATTCTGTTCGCTCCATTTGAGATTTACAAGTTTTCCAAATTCTGACCCTCTATGGGGGAGGTACTAGAAATAGTGGACCGAAATGTTCCATATCTCAACAATATAAAGGCATGACTAAAATATAAGGTTTTGCAAAGATTGGTTTGAATCAGATGATCTGTTTTCATGATATTACAAAATGGATTTTCAGAACAACTTTGACCATTTTGTGGGGGAAGTACCAGATGGAGTGGACCGATTTTCCCCATCTTCAAACTGAATACTAATTTTAAAGAAATTTTACGATTTGCACAATTTGGATGAAATTGGGCATTCCATTCGCCTAATATTGGAATAAAAATTTTCATAATTTCGAAACTTGGTGAGGGAGGTTGCCGAAGGAGTGGACCAATAGGACCCATCTTCGGACTTTATTAGGATTGGTAAAGGAAATAAGTTGTTTGTTTCAAATCGGGCCGATTGTTCGCATCATATTGAAAAAATAATATTCAGCAAAATTTTGACCATTTTGTGGACCGATATACCCCTATCTTCGAACTAAAGCTAAACTAAGTCTGAAAGAAATATTACGATGTGTAAAGGTTAGATGAAATCGATTTTTCTATTCGAGTGTTATCGCACGCATCAACCACCCAGACGGCGGACATTTGTACATGGACTCCAAATTGTCTGAAACGAATTTGGTTCAAAGAAACATGGCACCTAAAACTAATATTTCGATTGGGTACAAGTGGACCAAACACTGTAATTTTGTTTGTTTTTTCTTGTGGCTGTAAATTATAGCACCAGTCGGGGGTCAATGCTGCTTTACTGAAGATCGGTCAATATTTAAGGGGCCAAATGGATCACAATAAGACCGATATTTTTACACCTACAATACATAGTCTACAGAAACAGCATCTGATGGTGTCTATATTATTTGTTATTCAGTTCACAACATCTCGACATATTCAACCCATAAAGTATATATATATATATATATATAATATCGATTTAGCTGTGTCCGTCTGTAGAAACCAGAATTGAGCTTTGAAATTTAATAACTACATTGATAAAACTTCTGGGGTGTTTGGTATTGCAAATGGGATATATTGGTTCCATATAACTGTAACCCCAATATTCAAGATTTTTACCGTTTTTGGGCACTTTTTCAACAAACTAGACTGTAATTTATGAGCTGCAAATCTTCCTACCAAAAATATCGTTATTGGTAAACTTTTTGGTGCAGGCCCCCATATATAGGCATTACTTAAAATACGATATTTTGGAGAGTTTGTGTACGGTTTGGATTCTTATTGGGTAGAAATTCTCCCTCCTACAAATTGTATATATTGGCAAAAGTTTCGAGGTAGCTCCATACCCCCATAATTTTTGCGATTTTAAGAACATTTTCAAACGGGTTGGTCCTAATTTAATATTTTGTGTTCTCATTTGGGTGGATAATATTTCCATCACAATTTATATATCGGCCGATCTTTGTGGTAATTTTTGCATTATTAGATCTTTATTTCCAGAACATGTTCAATATAACTCCATGTTTCTACGTAGTTTCAGTACCACGCCGTATTTTCTAAACCACTATCTTTGATATTTCATTTTGCTCCGAGCAATTTACCATATGATAGACAGCATCTTAAAGTTCGGACTGATTTTAGGTGTTTTTACTATCCAATGGTATACAAAGTTCGGCCTGACTTTTTTACTTGTTTTCGTTTTTCGGGGATTTCAGACATATTTATCATCCAAGTTGGCCTAATTATATATTGTATGTTCTTATTGGGTGAGGCGGGTTAACAACTTCTCCACCGAACATTTTCCATATTAATCTATGTTTCTATTTCTCCCCCATATAAAGGCCATCCATCATTTTTGGTATGTTTAGGGTCTTAGTCCAATTTCCTCACGAAAGTCTCTGTAATTTGGCATTTAGTTTTCTACCTTAAAATAGCCCCAATGAAAGGATCCTCTTCTATTTTACGTGTTTTGAATGTCACATCATGGTTCAGCCCGACCGAATAACATATTGAACCAAACGTTTTCCAATTAATACTAGCTTAAGGGGACCCCCCCATTCTCGGAGTCAAACATTTTTTGATTTAATTCGAATCTACACTAATACAAGAATGTCCCTACAAAATTTCAAGAGAAAATCTCAAGAACTCTTGAAGATATAGCCGATTTATTGTATCAGCATCAAGTGACGGCTAAAGGGCTTCTCAAACTTTAAACGCGTTTTTCTCTTTTGTGAATGGCGGGCACGATAACTCAAAAACTAATGACCCAATCGATTTGAAATTTTTATACGTTTCTTTGTGAGTGTGTAGCTATCGTATGAACTAGGATAAAGCCAATCGCTGAAAATCTTCCTTATTTTTTAAATTGGTTTTTGGTAAAAAAATCGGCGATTTTCCAAAAATATGTTTTCAAAGGTCCGCCATTTTGTTAATTTTAGAGCAAAGTCAATAATCCTAGTTCATACAAGAGCCAGACATGTGCTCTTTCTAGTACCGTTGGAAATGTTGGATTCCGATGTTCCAGTGGGGAGTTATCATGCCCGCCATCAAAAATAAGGACTTTTCTTTAATTACAAAAAAACAACAACAAAACAATAACAAAAAATTTTTGTAAATTATTTTTCTTCTCTTGTAAATCTTCATGTATGTGTGTGCAATGGTTCAAACCTTAACAAGCATTGTTATTGATTTACCAGCCCATTGAAAATCTTGAAAAAATAAAATCGAGAATGGGTGGAGTTCCCTTAAATACTTTACTCCAATATTTGAAATGTGCCTGGTAAAGCTTGATTTTAAGAATTTGTTTGGCCATCGCTTGACATTGTTTGTTTCAAAACACCTTGCTGATTAAATCTTCAACCTACAACGGAAAAAATTCCATTGCAATGCATAATAAAATTGTTGCTGCATAGTATCTCTATTCACAACTCGAATTGGAATGAATTGAACTTTTTTATCTACAAAATATCAAATTGAATATCGACATCCTTGGCTGACCACATGCAATCTTAAAACGAAACAGGCTAGAAAATTGTAATATACTTATATAATACATTCCCAACTTTAGATAAGCTCTGTAGATTTTTATAGGAATTTATAATAAAAACAGAAAAACAAGAACAAACCTACATTAGTAG